TTTTACGTCCCTGCCAACACTTGCTGTTTCTTGTGTTGATTTTAGTTGTTCTGCCAGGTGTGAGATAGTGTCTCATTGTGGTTTTGATTTGTATTTCCCTGATGCCGAGCAATGTTGAGCATCTTCTCATGTGTCTGTCTTCTGCCCATTTTTAAATTGGATTATTTCTTTTTTTGGTGTTGAGTTCTTTATAGATTTTTTTAAAAATATTTTATTTATTTGACAGAGAGACACACAGCGAGAGAGGGAACACAAGCAGGGGGAGTGGGAGAGGGAGAAGCAGGCTTCCCGCTGAGCAGGGAGCCCGATGCGGGGCTTGATCCCAGGACTCTGGGATCATGACCTGAGCCGAAGGCAGTTGCTTCACCAACTGAGCCACCCAGGCGCCCCAATAGATTTTGGATACTAACCCTTTATCAGATATGTCATTTACAAATATCTTCTCCCATTCCGTAGTTGTCTTTTAGTTTTGTTGGTTGTTTCCTTTGCTGTGCATATTCATTTGCCTTTCTATGACTAATACTGCTTAGCATCTTTTCATTTACTTATTTGCCAATTCTGTATTTTTGGGGGTGTATTAAAATCTTTGGCACTTTTATAAGTTTGGGCTGCTTTTCTTTTATCTTGAGTTTTGAGAGGTTTCAGATAGTCCTTTATCAGATAAATGCTTTGAGAAAGAGTCTCCGCTAGTCTACGGCTTGTCTTCATTTCTTAACAGTGTCTTTTGAAGAGCAGAAGTTTTTAATCTTAATGTAGTCCAGATTATCGACTTGTTCTTTAATGGACTATACTTTTGGTGTCGTATCCAACAAACCTCTGATTAACCTAAGGTCACATATATTTTCTCTTAGAAGTTATACAGTTTTAGATCTTACATTTAAAAGTTGATTTTTGTAGATAATGCAAGATACGGATGCAAGGGTTTTTAATTGTTGTCATTTTGCATATGAACATTCAATTGTTCCAGCACTGTTTGTTGAAAGACAGTCCTTTCTCCGCATTGCCTTTTCACCTTTGTCCAAACTCAGGTGTTCATGTGTGTGTGGGTCTCTCTCTGGACTATCCTGTTCCATTGATATACCTGCCTAGCTTTGTATGAGTACCACACAGTTTTGGTTAGTGTAGCTTTATAATAATTCTTGAAATCAAGTAGTGTGAGCCTGCCAACTTTGTTCTTTTTTCAAAGTTCTTTTGGCTGTTCTAGGTCACTTGCCTTTCCATATGAATTTCAGAATCAGTTTGTCAATTTCTGCAAGAAAAGCCTGCTCAGACTTTGATTAGGATTGTATGGAATCTAGAGATCAATCTAAAAGGAATGGACATATAAACAATCTCGACTCCTCCGACTCACGAGCAGGTTATCTGTCCATTTTTTCAGGTCTGTTTAAGTTTCTCTTGGAAATATTTTGTAGTTTTCAGTGTGCAGGTGTAGTGAGTTGAATCATGCCGCTCACCCGCCCCCTGCTGTGCTATGTTCCTGTCCTCGTCCCCAGAGCCTGAGAACGTGAGTTTATTTGGAAAAAAGGTCTTTGCAGTTGGCACTTGAAGGTCTCAAGATGAGGAGATCGTCCTACATCATCCAGAGGTGCCTAAATCCAATGACACGTGTCCTTATAAGAAATGCACAGAGGACAGAGGAGAAGGCAGTGTGAAGATGGAGGCGGGAGATGGGCGTGATACGGCCAGAAGCCAAGAAACCCCACGGGACACCTGTGGCATGCAGAAGCTGGAAGAGACAGGAAGGATCCTCCCCTGGAGCCTCTGGAAGGAGCGTGGCCCTGCTGATACCTTAATTTCAGATTTCTGGCCTCTGGAACCAGGAGAGCCAGAACAAGTTTCTGTGGCTGTAAGCCCCCGCCCCGCCCCCCCCTTACTTGTGATAATTTGTTGTGGTGGCCCTTGGAGATGGATAGAACAGGCGGCTCCCATTTTCTGTCAGATTTATCCCTTAGCGTTTGACGCTCTGGTAACTGCCATTGTTCAACTTCAGGTTCTTCACTGCCAATATATAGAAATTCAGTTGGTTTTTGTGAATTGATCTTTTGTCTTCCCACTTCACCAAACTCACGTGATAGCGGTCATAGTTTTTTTCTGTAGATTCCATCAGATTTTTTACACGGATGGTCATGTCTAAAAATAAAACCAGTTTTACTTTCTCCTCTGAATGCCTCATATTTCTTTTTCCTGCCTGATTACACCAGCCAGAACCTCCAGCACAATGTGAACAGGAGTGGGGGCAGCCTTCCCTGAGTTGTTCTGATCTTAGGGGGACGGTGCTCTCCTCTTTTCCTCTACCTTCTTACTTCTTTGATCCACATTTGTTGATCCCTTCTGTGTGCCAGGTGTTAGTTACACTGAGTGTGGCAGGATCCCGGATGAGAAGAAAGAAAACCAACACACGGAGCACCACATGTTTAAGTGCTGTGAGAAACAGACACATGTGCACAAGCACGTGAGAGGAGACGAAACACAAATGTCCCAGAACACGTGACGATAACTCACTGGGACACTCTCTCACACCAGCTGAATCTGGCAGAAACCAAGAAGGCAGCCAGTACTAAGTGTTGTCAAGGCCACTGAGCAATGGGAACTCGCATTCATCACTGCTGGGAGGCTAAATGGAGGCAATCATTTCAGAAATACCTTGTCATTGTGAAAGCAACTGGACATGTGCATGCCCTAAAGCCCATAAATGCCACCTGTAGCTCCACAGCCTAGAAAAACTATGTGTGCACCCACGTGTTTGTATTTATCTACAAATATAATCATCCAAGTGTCCATCACAAGTCAAAGGGGTAAATTGTGGGGCATCCACATAATGGGCTGCCACACCACAGTGAAAACACAGGAACCACAGCTCCACATACCAACATGGAAAAATGTGAGGAACATGTTGGACAATGTGAGCAAGTCACAGAAGAATACACACTGCGTTCTTCCATTTGTATAAAGTTGAGAAACAAGCAAATCCAAGCGATGTGCTGTTTGAGGTAACATGATAGAGAAACACACACAAGGTACAGTGGAAGCACTGAGGAGTGCATTGGTCAGCCCCGGCTGCTATAACAAACACCATGGCCCGGGCTGGTGCGATAGAAATGTATGTTCTCACAGTCCTAGAGGTGGGAAGTCTGAGGCCCAGGCATGGGCAGGCCAGTTTCCCCCAAGGCCTATCTCCTGGCAGGCAGACACCGTCTTCCCGTGTCCTCATGTGGTTGTCCTCTGTGCGTGTCTGTGTCCTCAGCTCCTTTTCTTCACAGGGACACTGGTCATGCTGGATTAGGGCCACCCTAGTGACCTCGTCTTCACTAATTACATCTGCAACGACCTCATCTCCAAATACAGTCACATTTTGGGGTACCAGGGGTTAGAACTTCAACATGATTTTCAGGACATTGTCCAGCCTGTAATACCCCTCCATCTCCTTGGGCTGCATAGTCAAGTAGCTGAATTTGACTACATTTAACACACTCTGTTCCAAGGAATTAGAGCTGAGTTTTGAAGGATATTCAGAATTAAGTGAGTGACAATGTTGAGAATTAGACTTCCAGCATTAGTTCCAAGCATGTGCTAAACTTGGCTCCAGACAGACGACGAACAACTGAGAAAATGACCCCGTGCGCCCCCAGCATCAGCAGAGAGCCAAACACAGAGGAGGCATGGCCTTGCTTGCTGAAAGAGAAGGAGTTTCACACTGGTCTCTTCCACTTGTTTTGAAGTCCACTAGGAGCATAGAGAATATTCTTAGAAAATAATTGATCATCTAATTTAAACTTTGTTAAAATAATACAGGAAATAACCCCTACTGGTCTCAGGAGCATTAAATTTAATATTAGGTTGAACGACAGGAAACGGCCACATGTGATCATTTTTGACCTGCAGGCTATTCCACATGGTTCAGTCTAATTCAATGGCTGACTATTTTTTATTTTATTTTTAAGAGAAGAAAGAAAATGAGAAAGGAACTCACTAAATCAAAGCCAAGGAGTATTTTCAGGCTCTAATCAAATGGCCATGTAAGTAGGAAACCACTCCAAAAATATAACTTCTCCCCAAAACAGGCAATCTTAAGAGTCAAACATCTTTTCACTTTAATCAAGAAAGCCAGGAGGCAAGGACATTACAGTCTTCTGTTGCAATATAAACCCCGTGGACAAACGAAACTTCAGTGCACGAGGCCTTATGATCGTAAAGTCTGGTTTGGACATTGTCTTCCATGACTGGATGTTTTGAATGATGGCTGACAATGATGGTTTCCCCAAGCCACACTGCTCAAGGCCTCCATCGTGATCACTCATAAGTCAGTTTTACTGTTGGTGTTGGGCTAGTCAGAGGCCAGCTCATGCCTAAAAGCATAACAAATGCACAACTGCATCACAGGATTTGTTGAATTTTTCTCCTGTCATGTTATCTGTAAACAATTTTCAACTGTCTAGCATTGAGTAGGCTCCTTTATTTTCTTTTAAATTTATCTATTTGAGAGTGAGGGAGAGTGAGCGAGAGAGAGAGAAATGGAGCAGGAGGCAGAGGGAGAGGGAGAAGCTGACTCCTTACTGAGCAGGAAGCCCAATGTAGGGCTCCAACCTGGGACTCCGAGGTCATGACCTCAGCCGAAGGCAGACGCTTAAGTGACTAAGCCACCCAGGTGCCCCAAATAGGCTCCTTTAGATAAGGTGATACTCTTGAGCCATATTCATAAAAAGCACCAAAGGGAATGTCATTCTTGTTTTACTTGCACTGAAAATATATCGATCCTTGTTCATTTGGAACAATAAGAACAAAAATGTCTTGAGTATCCCCAAAATTACTTGTGGGCCTTCAGATAGCGGGAGCTTGGGATATGCATTTTGTCTGCAGCAGACTGTCTCCGGAGATTTCTTCAGACCTCTAAAGAACTGGCTGAAACAGCATGCAAGCACATGAGCAGGTGTCCTCCATTTAAGAGAAAACACAGAAACTTTATTGAAGTTATGATACATGGTTTTTCATGGACGCCAGCATGATGAAAGCACGTGCTCTTCCTGAGATAAGACTGGGGAGCTGGCTGAAGACACGACTAAGCACATTACAGGGTGTTTCTGAGTTCTGCACACAGATAAAGCAATCTCAAAACCAGCAGCACTTCGGTGCAGTGGGCATCAGCGAGCTCTCGGATAGAAGGAAAACTGGTAAGTGGCCGGAAATCCTGCACTTCCTAAGTGAGATACGCTGAGATCATATGACAGTGACATGGCAGCTCAGCCGGCTCCAGAGGACAGAGATGATGGGTACTTCACTAAGTGACAAACAACGCAATCCTCTATGGTGCCACCATGGAGCCCAGGGCTGACAAGGCCCATGGTCCCTGCCAGGCATTCTGTCAGTGGGGAGGGAGGAGGGCATAGTCGGAGTCAGTCCAACTAGGACTCCTTCAACAGGCAAGTATGAATAATATTTCTCCCCGGGTCTGGTAAGAACCCAGACAACGCACATGCATGGCCACGGCCGTCAGTTCTGAGTGTGTGCTCTTGGCCCTTCACACTTCCACTGAGCTGAATCCCAAAACCCTGTACGTTCTTCTGGTCAGTGGAACTATCCTCTGGCCTGCAGAGAACTCCTCATCCACTCAAGTGCAGGAAGGCAGGAACCCCGCCAGCCTTAAGACTCCCCTCACCCGCTCCTCCTAGACTTCTCCTCTCCCCTCCTGCCCCGCCTGCTCACACTGGACCAGCAGAGTTGGGACCGACCACAGCCTGACTGATGTCCAGCCCATGACCCAGTTTGCCTGTCAGGATCGTCCCATCACCAACCACACCTGTATCACCAGGAGCTCCAAGCTAAAGTGTACGAGGGTTATGGGTTGTTCTTTTCATTTTTATTCAAATACATACAAAGCCTGCAGACAGCCTGATTTATTTCTCCCACCAGCTCTCTTCCTCAGTCTGGTGCACTGCCATGGTCACGTTGGGGCTGTGCGGGACCATCTCACACACAGGCCAATAGCCACTTGTCCAATGAGCCCTGCTGGCACCTGCCCATGTGAGACCGACAGAAATGACGGTAAACATCTTTTTGGGTAAAAAACATATTTTTATAATGTACCTTTGGATAAAATGTAATCTTTCCCTTCTTTTCCAGGTCAGGCACTTAAAAATGAGAAATTTCAGGAATGTGTAGCCAGTTCATTAAAATTCGCTGGATCTAGTTTCCTAAGAAAACTTAAACAGTGTGGGAGGTAACGACATTCAGCATTTGCAGCCAGAGTTTGTAAGACCGACAAGGATTACCATGTTTCTGATGTGCCAGCGCCTGATTCAGAGATGCAGGAGTCGGGGAGACTCATCCATGGTTAGCCTCACTTTCCCCGAAATTCCGTCTCTAAAATTAGGTCATAGCCTTACTGTGAAATTGGGTTAGATGAATATCACATTTACTGGGAAAAATGATTACCCTCTGTATGGCCTGGCCTCTGGTGCTGCACATGTTCATCACGGCTTCAACTGCTGAATGACAGTTTGGTCTACAGAGAACTAGTTAGGCAGTAACTAGTTCATTTATTTCTTATCTCGAGCCCAGAGGATGATTGCAGCCTACGTGCATCACATTCAATTTAAGAATCTTAGTTCTCAGAGTGACAAGTAGCCGAAGACAGGGCCCTGAGATGACAGGGTCCACAGAAGGGGAGATGTGGGAGGTGTGGGCCAGTGGTCACGCTGCTGCATGGAGCCTGCCCCCCGCCTTCTGCTCCTCCTTGTGGAGTCCTGCTTCTGAGCAGCTGCCCACATTGCCCACCACGGCCCCTGCTTCCTCTGTGAAGACGCTGTTTGGTGGGCATCAGGCTGGACGTGCCGAGAAGCGTTCCTGCCTCCTGTGACAGCAGAGGTCGGCACGGGGTCTGGAAGCCTGACCAAGAGCAAGTCTACTTCCAGTGGTAAAAAATCCCAACCACCTCACAGTCAACCTTCAACACAAAACTAAATCTCTCTGAGAAATAATATACTTTGAAATCCTTTGATGCATTTATAAAAAGAAAAAAACCAAAAAATTTGCAAATTAAAAAAAAAGATCCTTAAAAAAAAAATCAATAGTCTTCTTACTAACGAATACAAAACTGCTTAAGACACTCTGTGACTTCCTTAGGTCATGGATCAGGGGGATGGATCCACAGTGAAGTTTTACTACTAAAATTACCTATTTGGTAAAAACTCCAGGAGGGTTCCACTGACAAAATATTTGTTTGGGAAAGAAGAGTCACAACTTTTTCCAAAATGTCAAAAAGAACAAAGATGTAAACACCACATACTTAACATATTAATACAACAGTATTAATTCAGTTAAATAAATACAAGAAAGTGGCACCAACGTTATGGCAATTTTTCAACACAAAAATGTAGCTCGAGGATATTTTAAAATAAATAATTGCTCCCAACAGAAATGAGTGTTCTTAGCACAAACCAAGAGCGTCTGAGATAAAGTGCTATGAGACAAAGTGGCTCCACACTCCAACCTGTTCATCTGTGCGCAGAAACGCCATCTGGGTCTCTAGGTCTGAGGGGTCCGCCACAAGGAAAGCATCACTAAACGCCAGGCTGAAGGTCATCTTTTGTCATTTTCCTGTTTTCTTCCAGTGTGTGTTTAAATATTTTCTTCAGGGTGTCGTAAACTAGTGGTCCATTTTCAGAGTCAAAATTAACCTGCTGACAAAGAATAGACAGACTCAGGGCATAGTAGCAGAATTTTAATCAGCTGATTTTGGGAGAAAAGAAAGGAGGGTGGAAAAAAAACTCTGACTTACAAACACAATTATATACAATAAACAGCACACATAACACCGTTCACACATTCACTTTAATCAAAAGACTATATTAGAACTGCCAATCATGTCAACACCAAAGTTACGAGTGCAAACTCAAAAACTGAAACCCCTGCCCGGACACGCTCACTCGCAGGTTGTCGTGAAGCCAGGCAGCTGTGAGGGCAGAGTTCTGAACCTGGAGACTTAGCACCGGGGGCACAAGGGACGGGGTCTGTCAAAAGGGGTCTCCAGCTGTAAGGCTGCCCTGCGGCAACCCGCCCGGGAGCCCAGCGTGCCACCAGCCCGCTACGCGGCCCCGGCCCACGCCTGCCCTGCCCTGTGTCACAGGCACACCACTATACCTACCGCCTTGGCACTTTCGGGAGCAGTGGGAGTGAGAGGGCCACGTGTTTGTCTGCCACAGAGAAAACCCCCGTGGAAGCTAGTTCCCTTGCCCCATGGTGGGGACGTACCGTGTCCGTGTATTTCGGCTGCAGGGTCGAGCGACAGGAGGACAGAGAACCTGAGCAATTCCTTCACCTGCACCCACTCCCACTCCCACAGAAATGTGTGACTCCCGGCGGTGCTGCGGAGGGCCTGGGCCTGGCTAACACGTTTGTAGACACAGGATGGCCGGGCCAGAGACAGACAACTCCACCCTCCAGGTAGCATGTCACAATCACACAGTCACCCTCGCCCTCCAACAAGAGGTGGGGCGACGCGGAGCAGCCCGGGTGGGCTGCACATCCTGGCTGATCTCTCTGGGCGCAGGTGACCCCAGTGTTTGCTGAGGGGCTGCAGCAAGCCTGGAAAGCTCTGGCCGAAGGGAAACAGAACGTTCGTCACCCTGGAAGCAGCTGCCGCACAGCTTCCTTGAAGAGCTGGCCCAGAACGAGAGCGGTCGGGGCCTCTGCTCATGACACTGTGCACCAGGGGACACAGCCACAGATGTCTCCCAACCTTTTCAAAGCCGGGTTTGCAACAACTGCTATGTTTAACTTTTCATCAGGATCCCCCTAAAAGGCCAACAGAAATTATAAAGAATTCCTACCCCATTCAGAGAAACCAACACTAAGGATTTTTTCAATTAAATTCAGAAATGTCATTACACTGTTTATTCTAGCTACAAAAACTTCTGATTAACATTAATAACGGCTTGAATTGTTCACTTTGCTAAGCACCCAACTGCAACCCTCCCCAAGGGTGGGTGGCCTCGCGGTCTATGAAGACATAAATGTAAGGTACAAAAGACAACGCGCTGTGGGTCTGAACCGCTGGCTCTGGAAACTGTTGAGAAGAGACGCAGAGGCCGCAGAGCTCCCGAGAGTAACCCCGACGCCTGCAAGGGCGCACTGTGGAGAGCACAGGGGGAAGCCGCGGTGAACCGCACGAACAGTAACGGGCAGAATCGCTAACGTTTACCGCAGACACCGTCGTTGAGAAGCTGGGCTCTGTGCTTCAGGACAGTGTCACATCCCCTATGATAGGAACCAAACTGAAGGGCTGAGGGGAGCCTTTTCTCCCGGCATGGCCCTGGTTCTTGCTTCAGCCAGGATGGACTGCTGTAAGCCAAAAGGATGTGCATAGAAAGGAAACCTTTTTATTACTTTCTGCTTTGATTTGCCAACTAGGGCAGGGTCCCGGGTCATCGCTGCTGGGTTCTCAGTGGTCAGTTATGCATTTAGGCCCAAAGTAGAATAGGCTCAACCAGAAAAGATTCTCTCCTACTTGGCACACGATTTAAAGGAATTTTCTCAACAACCAATTGTTTCTGTATGAAAGCTCTTTGTTCCAATGTTCTCCTTCAAAAAACCCACAGTTCAGCTTTTTCTAATATCACTGTTGAGAAACTAATATTTTTTGGCCAAAGTCTACAACTGTGTTTGAGAAATGTCAAACATGTTTCCATTAAGGAAAAACATACTGAAAGTTTTATTTTAGAGCAGGTGGGGGGCCTCTGGATTCTGATTTGCAATTATGCCGACAGCAGCACGTGACCCACCTTGGTGAAGGCTTTAATGGCACGGATGAGGATGGCTTCCTCCACGTCCGCAGGGACCGCCTGCAGACTCACTATGCAGTGCAACACGCAGAGAATGGTCTGGTGCTGGCCCTGTTTTTGCAGAAATCAAAATCAAACAAGTGGTTTGAAAAATGCCTCCAGACATAAACTCAAAGCAAGTGCAGAGCCAGGAGCTGGTGTGTGACCAAGTACTCATAACCTCAAACACCAAACTCTCTACCAAGGGCTCTACCAATGTGTCCTGATAGGTGTTTATGTAATTTGAAAAGCTTTCAGGAGATAAAATCAAAGCTGCTTAGTTATAAGTATAACTGAATATGAATATCAGTGTAACTTCAAATCAAATGTCTTCCTTGCAGTGAACCAATGAGAGGATCCACTCGTTTCCAGACACAACTGTTTCAGTTCAGCTAGCGGATGCTGACATGCCACGGTGGTACGTGGACTAGTGGGCAGCGAGGGTCAGTACGAGCATGCCCTGCCTGTGGCGGGAGCTGCGGAGGGAGGGGGGGAAGGGGAGAGACAGCCGTGGTCCCCCAGCAGTGCGCCCACTGGAACTTCAGGGGGAAAGTCCCCAAGGAACGTGTCCGACTTGACTCCCAGGGGCTGTTCCCTTTAGAGAAGCAAAGGAGACACCACCTCTGGAGCCGACATGCATCCAGGACACTCGTCCCTGAGAGCCACTGACTGCGCTTCTGGAAATCTACTCTGAGGGCCTAATCGGAAATGCAGAAAACCCTGCAAGCACAAGTGATCGTTACAGGGATGGCTGCCGAAGTAAAACCCTGAAATAATGTAAACACCCCACATGAGGGGGTTGGAGTGAAGGATGACGAAGGCGCGGCGGGCGCCATGTGACAGACGGACGCAAGCTGTGTGCGGAGCCACTGGAGCTCAGGTGCTGCTGTGACACACGCTGACTGCCTTTCCTGAGAGGTGGGGCCTCACCCTCTCCAGGCCATGGAGCTGAATGAAGGGGAAAACGGAAATTATGACCTGGCAAGGGCCTGGCCACTGCCCCAGGGGCGACCTCCTCTCTCAGCCCCTCACACAGGGGCAGAGAAGGCAGACTAGGAAACGGACTCTGGATCCGGGGCGTCCTCACCTTTACAGGCATGTGCGCATGTGTGCGAGCGTGTGCATTCATGTCTGTGTGTGTCTAAAAAGTGAAGTATACGGTTGTCCGTGACCACGTTAACAAATGCACTAAGTCTGACACAAAGGACGTGCAAATGTTCAGAGGGGCGCTGCTGGGTTACGGGGGTTCTCCTTGTCTGGTTTTGTACCTTCTACATGTGATGCTGGGTGTGCATTTCTTCTTACCTCGGAAAAACCTAAATCAGACCCAGGTATGGGATTCTGCACAAGTCCCCTTCTTCATAATGGATTTTTGTGCACGAAGCCGGAGCTAAGGGCCGTGGTTAACTTCATCAACCGCCCAACAGCCTCTTTACCTTCTCTAATAAAAACAGCGCTTCTGTGGCATCTGCGTGGCTGGCAGCCAGCGTGTCCACGTCCTCTCTGGTGATCACAGGCTCCTTCAGCTGCTCCACCCAAGACCACATTAGACTGCACAGGACGAAAGGGTCCTTTTCGCCACATATTCTTTCCCAAGCTCCGTCTCGGGAATTTAGTTCTTTCTAAAAAGAAGGGAAGAAAGGGGAGAATGGAGAAGGAGGAGAGGGGAGGGGAGGAAAAGGGGCGTGGGAGAGGGGGGAGGAGGGGGAGGGAAAAGAAGAGGGGCAGGGAGGGAGAAAGGGGAGGGCGAGGGGTGGGGGGGGAGGGGCGGGCAGGTGGCACTGTTTGAGGTCTCACGGCTTTCAGACTGTTCATGAGTGGCAGTCTTGGGCTTGGGTGGATGTGGACCCCTCCCAGTGCCCCCACCCCCAGGTGGCACACTGGGCTGAGGTGCTCAATCTCTCCAAGCCTCAGTCCCCCTCTGTGAAGCTGACCCCGGGCCCCATGTGTGCACTAAAGCTCCCTCGGAGAGGGGCTCAGCCGGCCCAAAGGCTAAGCTCTCCACTGGGCTCTGAAACCACAGACACGGTTCAGGAAGAGGGAGCCTTCCTTTGTAGGTTCCTTGGGACAAAAGAGAAATACTTACTGGGATGAAGGAGAATGTTAGACAAAAAAGCATACATAAGACAACATTTGCAAATTACCCTGGGACGAGGAAAAGCTGACTAAATCTTCAAAGTAGGCCCCAGAGAAGTGCTGAACAGTCTGCAACTGGGCAGACACATCTGTCTCACGTTCCTTTTCAGAGTCCCATGCAGGCCTGGCCACAGAGCCAGCCCCACATCCTGAGACTGCACAGGGGAGGGGACGAGCAAGTCTTGCCCAGGCCCCGAACGCTGGAGATAAGTTAAGGAGCAGGCCTTAACAGTTTACCTCACAGAGAGCAGGGGAAAAACAGGAAGAATTTTAACTTCTGATGGGGCTCAGTTTTAGGCATTAGTAAATAAAGTCTCTGTGTGCTACAGGAATAAGCATAATAATTGCACATTCATTCATTCACGCATCTGGTATGTTCAAAGCTTAGAACAGGACAGCCCGTAGCACATGGCTTATCTGATTCCTACAGCCCCTTGAAGTGAGGCCCCGATGGCAGATGTGCCCAGGGAAGAGGGTACCTGCCCAGGATCCCAAAGCAGAACGGGGCAGACGGCATTCCCTGGGTTCTGCTTGACCCCAGACGTGATGCTCCTGCCCCGCTGCCAGGGTCCTCTGGCTCTGGGTTCCTCTGGTTCCTCTTTATTATCTTATAAAGAAGCCACTATGTTTAGTTGTATGGAGGCCCCATTCCCCACGGGTCACAGACACAGCAGATCTGCTCTGCAGTAACCAGAAGCTGGGCAGAATGGCACAAGTCAAAGGCCCTCCCAGTAAAATGCTGTTATACTGTCATGTTTTCTGAAATCCTCGAGGGGGCTTAGCAAAGTATTAAACTCATGAGCTGTATCTTGGCCCTGCCACATTCGGGCCACATGACCTTGAGCATGTGCTTTGACCCCCGTGACCCTCGGCTTCCCTACCTGTGATACTTAATTCATAAGGACTGTGAAGATTAATGAAGAATCTTAGGGTATCCTCTGCCCTACGGGGTCCCTGTGAGAGCAGGTGATGCGGCAGAAGAAAGAGGGCCTAGCACAGGCACAGGCAGCACTGTGCCGTCCAAATCACAGTTCACTGGACTCTTTCCAGAACTCAAGTTATTTTATTGCTGAAAGGCCCATAATAAAATCCAGAAAGTGAAACAAAGGGCAAGCCTATCCAAACAAAAGGGTCGTGTTCACCTCTGGAAAATGCTTTTCTATGTGAAGTGCTCTGACAGTCTGGCCCATGCTGGGCTGACCTATGAGGGGTCCAACCACTAGCTCCCATGGCTGTGGTGTTACAAGGGAAGGGCCCGCAGACTGAGCCAGAATGAGCCAAAAGTTTGTTCAGTTTGGAGTAAGAAAAATACTTCGTGTTGTAGGAAATCAATATACGTAACTATTTGATCAGCAAACACCTGCAGTTCTGACAATGTGCACATGCTCTGCAGTCCCACAGCTATAAGTGGGTGCAAGGCTCTGTGCCTAGTTTTCCCACCTCTGCATCTGGAAGGTTCTGAACCTCCTAGAAAGTGTACATGCCTTGCTTAATTAATGTAGAATACAGAGGAGCAGATACACAAATAATTCGTGGGAGATTATAGGCTAACAAGTCTTGATTTCACTGAGCCAGGCCTCCCCAGGTCATCCCCACATTTGGGCAGTTTACTAGTTTCTGATAACCAGGTGGTAAGGCCTGCCTTTTGTCTACACCAGCTGCTCATTCAGGGCAAAGAGCACAACTGATTTAAGACTGTGTTTCTAATGAAAATATACCACAAAAAGGGGTTAAAATTTAAAAATTGCACATTCTAATTTAAGTAAAAGCCAAGAAATGGACCCCAAAGACACAACCTCCGGTAAAACCAATGGCACAGGGGCGCCTGGGTGGCTCAGTCAGTTAAGTGTCTGACTCAATTTCAGCTCAGGTCATGATCTCAGGATCGTGAGATGGAGCCCCACGTGAGGCTTGGTGCTGAGCTTGGGAGCCTCTCTCTCCCGGTGCCCCTACCCCCACACCCCTCTTGCTCTCTCTAAACAGATAAAATCTTTTTTAAAAACCTAATGACACAAAGGTACTCTGTGGCTTGCTCCCATTTGCTTTGTGGAATCTGACTGTTGCCTCATTGGGGTGCACTGGGAAGTCTGCGGGAAGGGATGCTGTGCAGACAGCATCCATCACGTGTCCTCCTGACCTCACTCAACACTTGTGTTGATGACTTTGGAAAAGAATTTTCTCTGATTTCGCTTATGTCTCTTGGTCAGTGATTCTCCCCACCAGACTCAGGTTAGCGATGCACAAGTCAGTTCCTAAAGCTGTCTGCTGAGGTCTGTCCATCCCACAAACCCAGCAGGAAAGCAGGAAGCCGCCACATGCATCAGCATCAATGCCCTGCTCCAAGGGCCCTGCTAAGTGCTAAGCACTGAGTGCTTTCTTTCACACAGAGATTGAGAAACCTGAAGTTCAAAAGTTAAGTATTACATAAACAGGCCTTCAAATTCCCATAATACTTAAATTTGGTAAAATGTATTATGTTTTTGTTCTGACATAAGTATTTCCCCCACACACATAATCAAATGAAATACAAGTACCTGCCACATTTCTACCTTCCTTTTCACCTCCTCCTTTTCTGCAAACTCGTTTAAACTTGCCAGGGCTTTGGCTGCCAGTATTCTCCTGGCTTCGACACTCAATTCAGACTGCAAAGCAGTGTGTGGAGCAACTGCAGACAGATCTTTGCTGTCCTGGGCTTGGATGCGTCCACCAGAGAAGGGTGCTTTGGAGCTGAAACCACAGTCCACGGGGCTGCGGGGGGTGTCGGAGCAGCAACCAGCAGGAGTTCCATCCTGATAGCGGGGTGCTTGCTGGGGAGAACAGTTTGGTTCCGTAGGGATATCTGCAAGGTTCGGTATAACTGGTTCCCTAGGGTTGTATGAACTTGAAACACCCGAAGAGAAGGTTCTACTCCGCTGTACTTCCTTTGCAATCGTCTCCCTATGGAAAACCGGTGACCCCTCATCTTTGAGTCCTTCCAGGCCTCCAAATTTAGCCTGATTCCAGAAAGAGAATGTATTTCGGACCAGCTTTTCCTTACTTGGATCAAGCTGTGGAGACTGGGGGGTGTAACAGTGGCTGATGGGCTTCTGCTGCCCGGGATGATGGCCAAGCAATGCCTGCGCAGGCCCTGTCCATGGAGATCCCCCCTGCTCCAGAAGCGACTCAGCCCTCTTTAAATCTGAGTCGCTGCAACTGAATCGCCTTTTCAGATGAGTCAGGGGCTGAAGGCACTCGACATTCCGTCTCTTCCAAAGAGGGTCAATCTCTTGCTCGCTGGAAAGAATCACATCCTGATTCTCAAAATCTGTGGGCACTGCAGTGGGCAGGGAGGAATCTGATGCATCGCTGCCCTGCCTCAGCAACTCTTTATCCAGCTGCAGGGTGATCATCTCAGAAACCGTCTTCTCAATTTCGGCAGATAGACTGGGCACTTCTGCCACCTCTTCTGTCACCACTGGCCTGTTCTCGGCTAAGTCGAGGAGCAATTTGCAAACAAGGTGGATAATTTTGGGTACGTGTTTCAGAAGTCGGGCCTCATAACCATGAAGCAGATGCCGCTGGCGAATAAGATACTGTGCTAAAGTAACAGCGTGTGCTTTGGGGTCACAGCAAGAGAATATATTGCGAAGAGGAATCAGAAACTGAGTAAACTCCCTTACACAGAGTAGCTGTCCTCGAGTTTGTATGGAATTGGGTCGCTTTGCCCGAACAAATATAATTGCTTGGTCAGCAGTCATTCTTGTTGCAAAAACTAAGTAACATGCTATTAAAACGCCTAGAGGTGAAGAAGAGAAGATTGGTATGAAAAAAGTTTATAACTTATTTATTTATCGCTCTTTAAGATTTAAATTTTGAATATGTGTCAGGAAACCATATAAAGGATCATTTTAAGGACAATTATAACTTACTGACTTCTTGTACAAGTGTTTATTCCTTGTCTATATGTCACTTCTCCCCCTGACTGAGAATCCACAGTCCTCTCTGTACTCTGAAAGGGAGTAAGTATGGGTGAGGGGCTGAGGGAGTGAGTGGGGCTGAGGGGATGAGGGAGTGAGTGGGGCTGA